CGTCCCGGCACGGGTCCGAGAGACCTCGGGCACCTCACATGCGGGTTGTGCACGTCGACTTGTTCCACATAGCCCGTCAGGCGAGTGAAGGTTGACTGGCGCTTGGGTGCTCCGTCCACCGCCTGCTCCCCCTCCACACGGCCCCCCGTCTTGCGGCCTGCCAACACGTCCATTAAGGTGGTTTTGCCCGCACCAGAGGCGCCCATCAGGCTGGAAAGGGGAAAGTGGGTTGGGATGAGGGGACTGGGGATACAGGAGGGGTAAATGGCCGGGTTGTAACGGTTAACAGTTGGCAGTTGGCGCACGGGGACGGGGTCATCCTCGCCAGGTGGACGATGTGTACCTCTGACACGCTCCAATATACAAAGACCGTCTGCTGGCTTGCGTGCGATTTATGTGTACCCGTTCTTCATCATAGCAAACCACCCCCCATTCCCCCACAAGCATAAACAGTCCCCCAAACCCCCACCCCCCATACCTTGTGAGCACTCCCGGTCGGAAGACGCCACTGACCCGGTCCAGCAACTGCAGCTCCTTCTTGTCTGTTAACAAATGCGCGAGAGGCAGCGGTTCTGGCGGTTGGCGGTCGTTGGGGCGGTCAACGGTTTGGTGGTCGGGGCGCTACTGGAGAGGGAGAGGGAAAGCGAACGGAAGGCTGCCGGCCCTGCAACCCGATAAACGACTCACCTCCGCTAGGTTTCACGAAGTATGACACGTTACGGAACGCCATCACCACCGGCCGGAAAGCCAACACCTGGTTGCCGTCATCCGCGGCCGCCGTCGCCGTCGCCGTCGCCGTGGCGGCGGCGGCGCCACTTGCTGCCCACGCTGCCGGCGCTCTGCTGCTACCACTTCCGCTCGTCTTGAGCAGCACAGACCCGACACCGCCGGGGGCCGTCAGCTCCGCACCTAACGCCGTGGCGGCTGCTGCCGCCGATGCAGGGCTTGGCGGCAGCGGCGGCCGTACGAGAAGTGACCCGCTACCGTTTCCGTTGGCCAGCGCCGTTGCAGCGGGCACGGACGACGGCGCTGAAAAGCCCTGCGGCGGCGAAAGCGGAAGGACGGGCGGGCGGCAAGTACATCACCAGTGGCCCTCTCTAATGCACGTTTGGAGCTTTACCACCGCCGCTAATACTGCTGCTACAGCTACGACTACATCCCGGCGGCGACACACACAACAGCAAACTCGTTCAAGATCGGAATTCGGAAGCATTTCGACCCACCACCGCGGTGTTCCTGCCGCTGCCGCTGCCGCTGCCGCTGATGGGCCCCTGAATGGGCAACCCAGCGGACGATGATGTAAGACTGTCGCCAGTGGCGCCAAGTACGACGTCAACAGCGGCCGACGCCGTCATCGCCGGCGGCGGTGTTTCTAGTCGGCGGCTGCTCAGGTGGCCGACGCCGTCAAGGTTCTGTTGTTGGCGGAGGAAGAGGTGCGTGGGGTCGTCCATGTCATGCTCGTCGTCGTGCTCGTGTTCGGGGCCGGAACCAGAGGCGCGGAGGGCTGTCGTCGTCATGACCGGCATCACCATCACCATCACCATCACCAATCGCAGTAGCGGCAGTAGGGGCGGTAGAAGCAGTAGCAGAGCAAGGCAGGCACCGTTGGTTGGACAACAGGCAACCAGCGAATGAGAGAACCATACATAAATACAAACAGACCGACAATGTACACAGATACGTACAGGGTGTTCGTTGTACACCCTGTACGGAAAGGCCCAAATTGGTTTGTGTTATCCAGGGGTACGCGCATACATACATGCATACATGCGTACATGCATACATAGGCACACACTACTCCATGACAACAGAGTCATGACACCAGCAACCCAACCCTTCCCGCTCAAACCCTCCCCCCGTACTCACGTCCCAGGTACGTCAGCGCCAGAGCCTGCAATACGATCTGTAGTACGGACATTCCTGCCACCATTCCCAGTCCAACCCAAGCCCACTTGAAGTCCGAGGGAATGCCGCGCATCTCGAGCGCCGCCTGCGGAAGAGGAGGGGGGGCAGGAGGGGGAACGGGGACAGTTGGCGATAGGCGTTCGGCGCGGTTGATGCCACTCGGTAGGTGAAAAGGTTGCGGCCGAGGGTTGCACAGGCGTACCTATGTTTGTCTATCTGTCTGTCTGTCTGTCTGTGTACTCAGAGTGTTAATGGGTTAGAGCCACGGCACGAGCACGAGCATATCTGCGGAGGACAGCACCACCACCGAGATGATGCCCTGGACCCCCGCCCGGCAGCCAGAGGCTATGTATTTATTCCTCACCAGCCCGACGGTGATGGTGGGTCCATCCGTTCGGGAGGGTTCCACCGGGTGCCATGACCGTGACGTCATCTCAGTGACCACCAGAGATCGGAAATTCCAGCTCATGGGCATCAGCCAGTAAATCCAGATCCACCAGCTGGGAATAGATCCTGGATCCAGGAAGATTACGAAAAGAGAACATATGAGTTGTTGGCACCTGGTTGGGTTTGGTTGTTGGTGAGGTTTTTCAAGTCCACCCCCGCACCCACCTACCCACCCACCCCCGCACCCACCTACCCACCCACCCCCGCACCCACCTACCCACCCAGCCCCGCACCCACCTACCCACCCAGCCCCGCACCCACCTACCCACCCAGCCCCGCACCCACCTACCCACCCAGCCCCGCACCCACCTACCCACCCAGCCCCGCACCCACCTACCCACCCACCCCCGCACCCACCTACCCACCCACCCCCGCACCCAGCCCAACCCTAAGCCCACCTGGCGCAATGGGGAATCCACACACCAGCGTGCTGACCATGAGGAACACGGCACCGACACCCTGATGGTACCGTGTATGAATGGATGGATGTGTGTGCGTGTGTGTGTTTTTTGGGGGAGGGAACCCAGGGGTTAAGGAGGCAGCCCAGGGATCAGGGCGTGAGGGGAGATGACGGAAACGTTGACAGTTTCAGGGCTTTGGCTGAGGATTGACGCCGTACGAATAGGCACCATATAAATGCAACAAGAAAAACAACGCGACAACTACCGTTAACAACCAACCAAGTCGCCAACTTCCAACTGCCAGCAACCAACCCACCTGTGTTGCGGACTCGCTGCGCATGACGGATGCGATTAGGGTGAAGGTGGTGATGCTGTTCAACCCGGCTAGCAGCATGTTGAACATGAACAAGAAGAACCTGGGGGTGTGCATGGGAGGGGAGGGGGGCTAGTCTGGGGAGTCTGGGAGAAGAGGGTGAGGGGGAAGGGTGAGGTGTGAGGGGGTTAGCTTGGGGGAGTTGTTTGGGGGAGTTTTCGCTTGGGGATTTCTTTGGGGGTTATGCAAGGATGTCTTAGGGGGCAAAGAAGGTGGTTCGTGGCAGCCGGGTCACATAACCCCCCGAGGCCGGACAAACAACAAAATACAAATTGCAGTTCTGCTTACGCGTCAGTCTGCACACACACACACACACACACAGACACACACACAGACACACACACAGACACACACGAACACACACGCAGACGCACACACACACACGAACACACACGCAGACGCACACAGACACACACACACACACACACACACAAACACACGCACACACATACACACACACGCACACACATACACACACACACATCCGGGCCTACCTACCCACCCACCCGCCCACCTGCCCGTCTCCATGGTAAACCCCACGGAGAAGTACACCATCACGCTGAACGACACCGCCTGTACGATAACGTCCGGCAGTCGCAGAATTACCGACGCCAGCGCGTACGACATGGGGGAGTAGAAGCGGTGATCGCGCTGCTTGTAGTACACCCCCAGCCGGTTGCAGTACATAGGGCCGAAGTTAAAACCAGTCTGCGAAACAGTCGGTGGTGCCCGGGGGCTCGAAGTAATTACAAAGTGCTTGTAAGTACGCAATATGGATGGATGGATGGATGCATGGACGTATGTTTTAAAATCAGAGAGCTTGGAAAAGGATGGGTAACGGATCGAGTATATAGGTGCGTAAAGTGCGGAAGGATTGAAACTGTTTTGGAGCTGCTCCATGTGCTCTGCAT